TTATTACTGATATTAAATACATACGATTGTTAACAATCGGTTCGTGGAGGTCATTAAATTCTAAGAACAGGTTCGCACGAACCGGTGCGAACCGGCTGAATCCCACAACTGCCTACACACAACATGTTATTATACTTATTATGCATATTTTTTATGATTTACCAGCTATCAGAGAAAAACCTACTTTTCTGTAGTCCAGAGCATGTAGGGTACACAAACTTTCATACACAAAAATTAAGTTTTTTTTTCTGAATTTTGCAAAAAGCTTGCTCGATGATTATCTAAGTTAGCTGTCCTTAATTTTGAAGTAATGGACTGGAGGGAAGGTAGCTAGTGAACAATACCCACCCATACACTTGGGCTCCTCTTTACCAACGAAAAGTGTGATTTACTGTCACTATTATAACGCCTCCAGTCTTCACGGCTAAAGGAGCGGATGCTTTCGGTTAAAGATTTCGAATCCACGACCTACTGATTGCGATCGAGTGCTCTAACCATCAAGCTATGTCAGGCCAAATAATTAAGAAAACGCTCTCAAGACTTAGATTTAACATACTGAGACATCCAAACGCGATTTAAAAGCATTATGAACATCTTTCTTTTTTAATCCTAACATTAAAATAATAAAAATTACATTTATAAGTTACACTCTAAGACATTCAAACGCGACTTAAAAGAGTTGTGAATATTTTCTTCTTGTTTTTAAGCCTAACATTAAAATAATAAAATTTACATTTCGGTGCATTACTTGTATTACGTTCAGTTCACTTGTTATCCACATAGAACACTGCCAAATACAATTTTAAGTGTTGTTTCTATATGTAATACAATAGCCACATTAAAATGTATGTTACATGGTAAAAAAACACCAAAAAAACTAAGTTACCAGATGTCTCAATTTTTAGCTTTTTTGCCCTGATCAGAAACAGTGAAAGTATTAAATTGTCTCAATTTCTCAGTAACTCAATGTGAATTTGATACTTACGGTTTATTGTTATACAGTTTCTTTAAATTTTACTCGGAATCGCCTGACAAAGACAGGTCACATAGTGCATTATTCCTTCTAACTCTGCTACGTTTTCTTTAACTTAACCTGTCATTGGGCAACTGCAGGATTTGTAATTTGAACATTTGTCCACCAGCGCAAAAGAAAGAAAGAAGCAATATTTTACTTTTAAGTAAGTTCAAGACAATTTAGACGCATTTATCATTATTTTAACTAGAATAAGCTTTTAACATAATTTATTCAAGAAATTTTATTTGTCTATGATTTTAAATAGCGATTCGTTTGTTTGAACTTAAGCACAAAGCTACACAATGGGCTGAAACTTTGTAGAATGGATGGCAATTGCCTGTTGTAGAGACACAAGTGTAGAGGACGACGGTTTTTAAAATTTACCCACTTTTGTATAATAAAAGCGGAAGGACTTTGAAAAACTGTCCTATATACTTTAGTCTTTT